AAATCGGAAACCCATTATGGAGGAATTCATAAAACTTCCCTCGGCATCAGATAAACAATAATTGCTCACCAAACAGTTCATAATAGCATTAAAACACTGGAGTCTCCGTACGCAATTAAATGACATATCTCATCAAATTGGCATTGCAATAGTGCTCAATCTTTTTTACAGAGAAAATACTAATTAGTCCGAAAATATACTAAGACTCGGTACAAAACCGGCATGAATGGAACGAGCTTCTTCCAGACAAGGCATCCCGGTTAGCTCCGGCGGGGGCCATTGAATCTGAAAGAGATTCGTTTTGGCTCTGGCCGGAACCATTGAAGAAAATAGATTGAGAGAGACTCGTTAAACACCAACATGACTGGAACGAGTTTCTTCCAGACAGGGCATCGAGGCTGCCTCCCGCGGCTGGATATTTCAGATGGCTCGAAAAATAAAGAAGGAGATGAGAAATCTAATTTAGAGGTGCAAATCTTGAAAGAGCAACCTCTAATAGTTAAGGCCATAGAAATACAGCCCTCGCAACTTCAAGAGGTACAAGCTCAAGAGGAGCAAATGGGGGAGTGAATCGTGGTTTTGATGTCAGGGTTGATCGAAAAGGAGAAAAATGTTACTCTGGTTGATGTTCAGGATAACTCAAACTTGGTTTCCGATTGTCTTGTTGTGAAAGTTGTGTCAAAGTTTGGAAAAGAAGCCGATAAAAAAAATGTCCACTACCAAAGCTCAAACAAATTTTCGGCTCTACAAGTAATTGATAATGATGAATCTATTCTGTTGAATGAGAATGATGATGATGTAGATAACGTCTTTACTGAGGGTCTCATAGAAAAGCAATAGCCTCTGGTTAGTATGGAATTAGATGCTGATTCGAGTAAGAAGGTTGCAATTGATGAAGTTCAAAAGCAGGTTAACAACAGCGCTGACCAACAACAACGTAGTTATTTTTGAGCCAGTTTTGCATGAAAATGCGATTGAGGAGAATGCAAGTAAGTTTATGTGCAAAGAATGTGATCCAGATGAGGGCTTATTAGCACATGCAAAGGCATGTACGCCGAAACCAGTACATGTGAAAAAGAAACAAATGATAGAAAATATGGAGAATTTTAAAAAAATCATTGCTCAAGTTGCAAAGGGTTAAGAGCCCGATTTTTTCTCGGTTTGTAAGTAACGGATAAAGCCTAGTGCCAATGGGAATCCAAGAACACGATGCTCAGAAAAAAACTAATTATTGTTCGTTATAGTCTTTTCTGAAGTTTTTCTTTAGTCGCTTTGTACAATGTGGTAAGTTTATGTGCTGCCACTATCTTTTCTTTAATTCTAGATAAATAAAATGGGTCCTACTCTTGCTAAGCATTGCGTCTTTTGCTTTAAAAAAATTGATTAAATGCATGGGTGGCAGGACATTCGCCCAACGAACACATCTAGTAACCTACTAATCTAGTAACTCATCAAAATTAATTTTTCTTTAGGAAAAGTAACTGAAATAGATTAGATGTTAAATTAACACTTTAATTAATATTATCCATCTCTTTTGATTACTATACTGATGGGTGTCGAATCCACCAAAATAAAACCTACTAAAAAACAGAGTATGACTTGGGCAAGTGAGTAAATGACTTGACTAAGTAGATGAAACCTAGGGTCATCCTCTTCTCTACTTTATATGCATATGTTCTGATTCTCTTGCTCTTTTTGCAGTACAAAACTATGTTCAATCATGCATAATTATACTGTAAGGTCACTCTCGATTGTTCTGGACAGATTCCTAATAGCAACAAGCCCACTAATTCTCTTTGTTGACTCTGGAATACTACTAATCCATTAAGTACCTAAGCCTTGATTGCCTCGTTCCAAACAAATAACTCCCGTTGTTATTTGAAACCTTGTGATGTTATCCCCTCATCACTGGCTAATCTTAGACGTTCTAAGTTAAGTTTACTCTCTCGGAATTCTCCTAACATGGAAGCACAATAAGTAAAGTAGCCGATTCAACTAGGAGGTAAATGAAAACTCCAAGATTACAAATATCATCCGATAGCTAAACCAAAACACAATTATATAGATTAGAGAGATTAGACCCTAGAAAAGAGTTTAGCATGAAAGGAAATATTAACCATCTCTTTTGATTACTATACTAATTGGTGTCGAATTCACAAAAATAAAAGCTAGTTAAAACTTGTAGCAAGTGATAAGAAGGGTCGATCCCACAGACACGGGAAACATCAGAGAAAATTGAGTTCCAGTGCAAGGAGATACAAAGTATGAACTAACTATGACTTAGGCAAGTGAGTAAATGACTTGACTAAGTAGATGAAACCTATGGTCGTCCTCCTCTCTACTTTATATTCATATGTTCTGGCAACCTAGGAAGCTTAAACATGAAAGAAACTAAGTACAGAAAGTTCAACATGTTTACACTCAGAAAAGAGAAAAAACAGGTGAAGAACAAAGTTAGGGAGTGTGGTGAAGTACTTGTGACTCAGATAATCAGCTTCTAAATTCCCCAAGTGGCAACCCTGAGTCTGCTTCAAAACAGATACTCTGTTATTCTCCTACCCGAAACTACAAAAAGTTAACTCTAGATTTCTTCCTTCATAATCTGATGCCTTCTGCTGCTGCTCGTTCTGGCTTTTCTAGAGATTGAAGGGAGTAAACTTGCTTAGTGAGTTTGATTTCTCCTTTGTCCAATGGTCGCAGATGAGAGTTCCCACCTTCCCTTGTCTCTAATCACCTTTTGGAGGTGGTTTAGTTGATTTAATCAGCTTTAGGTATACCACCCCCTTCCTTGTCAGCAACATCACTTCACCTCGATGCCTCTTCTTCCTTAGCCATGAAGGTTGGGTTGAATTTCGTCTTCTTCAGCTCCAATTACTGACGGATTCATCTCAGCCGCAATATTGCATCACCAGTCCAATTGAGCCTTTTTCCAATTCTGCCCAGAAGTTCTTCAATTTGCTCCATTTTGCCCACCTTTTTCAGAATTTGCAATTAAGTCCCTAAATCATCAAAAGTCACCAAATTACAATATAAACATGAAATACATAAAAAAATCAACTTAAAACTTATGTATAAAGAGGCACTTTATGTATGCAAAAACATGTATAACTTGATACCTATCATATACAAAAAAAAATTCCAAAGTAACTTAAAAGAAATGTTAAAATTTGTACTTGTAATTCAAATTGTCAAGCAGACTTTTATTCTTATCATCATTTCACTTCGGAAATCCTGAAGTTACTTTAATCCTTTTACAACTTAATTTTCTCCATGTACTTACTATGGAGATCATGGAATAATCTTTGAAACAAACACACACTTAACAAAGTAAATTGGACAAAGCATATTAATATAATATTGTACAATTTTTATGTGATTGGAAATATTTTTCTTTTTACTAGATTGGAATAAACACAAAAAAGCATGGTGTCATGGTATAATTTACCTTTTTTATGGTTCAAATATAAATTAGGATTATTATAAAAGTTTTAATCGATTTGGGTCACTATGGTGCACAAGAGTCCAAGAAAATCAACATTCTCCTATATGGAAGAAGAGAAAATGTAATACAGCTACATTAATCTGTATCTGTGTTCAACTTCTTCTTCTTTAAAATATGTGTCTATATATATATATATATATATATATATATATATATATATCCACCGTTTTTTTCCCCAATTCACTACAACCTACCATGCATCGATGTTTTCTCTTCCTCCAATTTCCATTTAATTATTAGTTTGTGTGGTTTAGATTTTCATAGGCTTTACTCTTCTTCCTCATCCATATCTAATGAACTAGTTTCCTTTAATTTGTTACTTATTATCAGAAGCTAATATTTAAGACCTTATGAAAAAAAAGAAGATTTTCTTCGAACTCGAAACATTTTGGGTTCAGTTGTTAAAAAGGAATATAAAATATTAAAGTAATTAAAGAAAGAAAGCGGATAGCACATTTGTAATTGCAGCAGGCAGCCGGTTGCAAGTTATTATGAAAAATATAATGTACTTTTAGACCTTATTTATTTTATGATGCACCACATTTTATCCTATGGTGATGATGATTGATTTCTCATCCAATGGTTATAAGTATTGTATTGAACGGTTCAGTCAATTGGACCGTAGTCACTATATATATATAGATATGTATGTAATTTTGATATATATACATATATATATATATACATATATACGCACACATGTATAGTTGACATTGACAATAGCAATGCAAGTAGTTATGCACACAACAATATTTATATAGTTTTGATACTTAAATATAATTGTGTGAGAAAATTATTTTCTGAATAATAAGAATCACCTTTTTTTAAAAAAATATATTTATTTTTGGGATATACATTTAGTGAGAACATTGATTTCATTCAAATAAATTGTTGTTGACTAGTTTACAATTAATTGTGCTTAGTAAGTTAGTAGTACCCACCTATCACCACAAATGAAAAGTTGTTGGCTTCATATAACAAATTATGTACCCTGTTATGGAAAAATACTTTACCTTTTTAATGACATTCTGTATTCTTCACAATTTCGTAGACCAACAGTGAATGCCATGACGCTATTTTGAACAAAATTTACTAATTATTTACTATTGACATAAAGTGCACATGTCAATCACAATAAAAGATGTTTCACGCAATTTTAAGTGCTCTTAATTATCGTGTTGGAATTGCTTCTAGATATAGTGTTGAATTTGTCATGAATAGCTGACTAATGATCTAATCTTGTACACTGTGTTCATCTGTAATGCAATTCACATTCATTGTGTAAAGTAATGACACGAAAACTGTATCTAAATTTCTATTCAATTATCAAAAATCATGCATTATGTAAGAAAATGAACTTAACCTTAGCGAAACATGTTACCAAGCATCCCATGATAAATGCAATTATAAACTGATAATTTCATAGATTAATATCTTTTACAAAAGAAATCCTTTCTAGCAAATTGACTGAGCAAGGGGAAAGAAACACAATTACTTTGTCCCATAACATTGTTGAAAAAGACACATAATGTCAACTTCAGATGTTCAGCTTGCAATGGTTCAACATCTTAAAAACTAATTCGTAACAAACACGAGACAAGGATAAAGTACCAATTTAGACAACAACAAACAACATTGATGCCATCGAATCATTTAATATTACATAAGAAATAACAAATTATGAGTTTGTTAAATATTTGTTGAACTCGAATAAAAGATCGGGGTGATCCTTGAAAAGTGATGCAATCTGTGAAACGTAGATACAAATTATTTATCAGTTATTAAACAAGCAATATAATACCAAACATGAAAAAAAAAATTATAATAATACACAAATTCAGTATAAAGGGATACAAACCTCACGATAGGCCTCATGAATGCTCTTTGCTCCATGCTTGTACGCATCCAAATGGTCCAGAAAACAATTGTAGACATGAGTGTTGCTTTTGAAAATCTTCTGCAAGGCAAAGAAACCACAAACATTCTATTTTCCGAATCAATTATGAACATAAACTTGAAACTCACTCCAAGTTCAAATAAAAGGACATCGTTTATAAACAAAAGAAGTACGATGTGCACTACTATGGAATTAAATATAACCTTTACTTTCTCAACGAAAAATAGAGCCTCCTCGAATTCCGTTTTTCTCTTATCAGGTGCAGTTTCTTTTTCATAAAGGGTGATTGCATTCCCACGGGACAAGAACTTGTTGAAACCAAGAACTAAGTTATGATGCCCTAGAAACAGTTCTTTTAACCCAGCAATGAAGTCCGGATTATCAACTCTTCAAAAATATATCCGTGAGTTAGCAAAATTGAATGAAATTGAATCATTAGAACATACAACATTATAAAACTTATGTGGGAAAGAAGTTTGAAGTTTATACCTTTTATCATTATGCTCCTTCATAAGGGCAAGGAACCCATCATACTTCTCCCTTTGATTTAGATAAGTGTCCCTAAGTTCTCCCATATAGTTCACGATATCTGTTGGGTCATATACGATCACAGACTTCTTCCTGGCACTTCAAATGAGAATAAGATGACCATATTAATAGACAAGCTGCTTCAAACTCACTATCAAACCTTGTACAATACCCGAGTGGGAAAAATTATGTGTGCTTCTTTCTTTTCTAATGTGACAGAAAGAGAAACAACACCCACAATACCCTCGCAAAAGATATTTCCTACTATTCCAAATTCAATTCACAGTTTACTGACAATAAAAAATACATGTTTGCAAACTCAAAAGGTAACTGAAAACCGCAAAATAAAAATTCGTTCTAAAGTAGCCAATTAATGGTGCCACAAAAGTTTTAATCTGCAATACTCCTACAATAAAGAATTAAATATTCTATAAAAGTAAACCAAAATATGCATCATCACTTTGAAAGTAATTAACCATCCTATAAATGGTGCCAATGAAGATTTAACTCACAATGCATCCACCACAAAGAACACCGCAAAATAATTATTGTATTTAAGATAAACCGAGATATGCACAATCAAAAAGGAAAACTTAATTTTAAAAACACCGAATTGATAATTTGTGCGAAAGCAATCCATGTGCATAAAGAAAATGAAAACTTTAGTCAAACGATCCTTTTGTCAATTTGTAAGAAAAATTGCTTAAATTGAATCGGAGGAAAAGAAAAGTGAAGAATCAGAACAAACAATTTTAAACATCGCACAGAGAAACCTAATGAAACAAAATTGAAGTGAATCAATTGGTCAAGAAACCATCCGATTACATTGAATTTCAAAGAGCACAAAGAGAAAAAGCATTGGCAAAAAAAAATTCACAAACAAGGGTCTCATCATCGTCAGGATCAGAAGTTTGCACAAATTTTATATTCCAATTTAAACAAAAGATACATATAAAAACATTGACCCTAAAGGGATAACCACAAGATTCAAATCCAAAAAAAAAAAACCCAAAAACGAAATGCAGATGAGGGCTCACGATTCAACAACTGGCTGTGTTGAGGAATTAACGTTATCAACATCCTTACGGAGACGATCCATGTTGATCTGCAAAACAAAAAACTGAACATAATTCATCTAATAAAGATTAAAAAAATAAAAACTATATAATCTTCATACCGAAAAAAGATTAAGAATTTATGGTGTATTTTTTGAAGCAGCAAACATACACACAAAACTATAGCACGGCGATAAAAACGAGAGGAAATAGCTGACAAAGGCTTTTGAGTGAAAGTTATGTATGTGTAACTACAAGATAAATGCAACACGCAATTTATGTAATGATGAAAAGGGGACATTTAATACGTTACTATTCTTTTTTGGTGAGAAAATAAATAAAAGATCAATCGTTTGTTGTTCAAATTCATATATATATATATATATATATATTTCTTATGGATTTTTTTTTGAATATTTATGACATTATCTTCTCACCCCCAAAGTGGCATGTGATAAAATTGTAATGATAAAGGCCAAAACATCCTTTAATCCGCTCACAGAATCTGTGTTCTAAAACCCAGATTGAGTTAACCGCGAACCGAGATGATGATAGGGTTTGTTTTTTATACAAAACTGTAGGGAATTTCGACCAGTCAAAACTTGGTCAAACTCGTGTTACGATCGAGTTTCAGTTACAACCGGTCAAACAATTTTTTGTTGTTTTCCCTCTCTATGTTGTTATTTGTGAATATAAAATTGATATATAAGAATATTTTCAAATTTCGGTGTATTAAAACTCATATATTATTAAATTATTTAGTTCTTGGCATCCATTAATTAAAAAATAAGTGTAAAATCTGAAATATATTTATTTAAATAGAATTTTTTTATGGGCACATTCATTAAAATAAGTCATCCATTAAGTCTGGATAATGTATTATTTTTCTATTAAAAATTATATATGATATCATCCGGTTCTGTCTAGTTTTGTGATACGGGCTAAGGGATAACCCAGTGAATTAGTAACCCATTATCATTACCACTTTGTTTTTCGATCAATGTTAAACAACATTGCACAAAATCTAAGCAATCAAAGTATTTTGAATTTCACATAAAGTCATTAATGTTTGAATTTTTGACTCACAAAATATTAACACATGAAGTTGTTTTGAAAACATAAACTAATCTTTGTTAGTCTAATCATGTTTATTGTCACGTTCTTTCTGCATATGTTCCCACTCCTTATCAAAAAAACAATGCTTTTGAATGATATGCACAAAAAAATTAACAGGATATGCGCAACAAGACAGTTTTTTTTTTTAAATTTTTTTATGGATTATGATTAACCTAAAAGAATACTTTTATTTTCTGGGACGATTAATCTGCATTTCGACTGTTAGTGAAAATTACTTTACTTTCTTTACATATGGAAATTGACTTTTACTAGCATATGTGTCTGAATCTTTGATGTTTTAATTTATTTTTGTTTTTTAAGATATTAACTTATGTTTCCAAATTTTCAAAGATTTAATTGTTTGGCATCCTTTTTTTGGTAAACCACATTAATTTGAAGTAGTCTAACTATTTTCAGTGAAACTGAAGTCTCCAATGGTCATATTAGTTAGACGATCTTCTTTCTCTAAAGCAGAATGATATGATCTAGGAGAGGCCATTGAGCGTAATTCCAAATAATGATGATAATTACATATATAGTTCATTTTATGGAAAATGGGTTCTTTTATTGGTTCATGTACTTCATGATGATAGAAGATTTGTTCCAAAACTGAAGATTTTAAAGAAAATTAGAGTTTATTTGCCCTGTAGGGACCTAATAGCAAATTGGGAAAAGGTTTGCGTTTAAAATGTTATTTTTTCATAAATTTAGGGACCTAAAGAGGAACAAGCAATTTTAATTAATTTCACATTTGTTTTAAGGTCATTGTTGGCTGATCCTTTTCCTATTTAAAGGGGCCTGCCATGAGCTTTTTAGGCAGACTTTTTTTTTTTTTATGAATTTTCATTGAATATTAATAAGCAATTTGAAGTTCTTTTCGGTTAATTGTAGCAAGAATAGTGATTGAATATTGAGAATAAAATTTTTTTATTCGTTAATGGTTTCGATTGTGCACTTTGGATCGAAAGATCCTTGTCAAGGGATCAATAATCCTCATACTGTTGGTTGATAACTATGCTCCTTACTTTCTTCCATTTGTGAATAAAACTATATTGCTGCGGGCATTACTGCTTTCCTTTGAATTCTGAAATTCTTATTCTAGATCATTGTGGCACGATTTAACATGAAAGTGCAACATTTATAATTAGATCATGAAAGAAATATTTAGATTTAGATGAAACCCATGTACAATAAGAAGAGGAAATGCTCACGTGCCCAACACATGTACATATGCATAGTAGAGAGGAGTACGACCCTAGGTTTCATCTACTTATCAAGTCATTTAATTAGTTGCCCAAATCACAGTGTATTCATACTTTGCATCTTGTGCACTAAAACCCAATTTTCTCTGGTATTTCCCGTCTTTGTTTGGTCGACCCTTCTTATCACTTGTTACAAGTTTGAATTAGGTTTTATTCTTGTAGATTCGACACCCATCAGTCCTTCGCTATTTTTTTGGCACTGTTGGTTCCAATTTGATTCTGCATCCCACTAATTTGGCCACTCTTACTGCCTTTAGTAATGCTGACTGGGCTTGTTGTCTAACTGATCGTTCTACAACTGGTTTTCTCGTTTATTTAGGAACTAATCCCATTTCATGGGCATATTGGAAGCAACCCACTGTGGCTTACTTGTCGACTAACGCCGAGTTTCATGCACTTGCTAATATCTGTGTTGAGCTGCATTGGGTGTGTCATCAGTTGTCTGAGTAGGGTGTTTCATTGCACCATTCTCCCTCTGTTTGGTGTGACAACAGTAGCACAGTTTTTCTTGCTGCTAATCTCGTATTCCATGCCCGTACCAGACATGTTTAGGAAGATTTTAGCTTTATTCAGGATCATGTTCGGCGGAAGTTTGTTTCGGTAACTCTATGTCTGCTGCTGATCAAATTGCCAATATTCTTACTAAAGCATTGTCTAAAGATTTATTTCTTCAGTTTCGGGACAAAGTTCGGCTTCTTCCTTCTTCGCCATCAGTTTTTGGGGGCGTATTAAAGTAATTCTATATTGACAGTAGTAAATACACGTATAGGATTTTCACTCATGTCTATATATATCTATATACATGTACATTATTAATTAATTAATTACAATCCCTATTATTGTTACTGCCAATAACCAAATTGTGTGTTTGATCTATTAACAATACCACTAAGGAACCAAAAGTACTTTATGACTCAAACCCAACTTTCAGCTAAATAGGAAAAAGAAATGATAAACTTTATCCACTAAAGCTATTCAGCCAAAAGAGAATCTAACCTTTGAAATCAAACTTGAAAATCAACAACCAAGTTCTTGATAAATAAAGTGGTTTCTAAAGAGCCTCAGGAGAGAACATCGAGTCTAATACCTATTGATTTAACGAAAGCCTCTAAACTGGAAGAAACACAACACAACCACAAATCGATGTGCAAAAGAAATTAATATGTTACTAATATTGTTAACATCTATTGATTCAATTCACAATTATATACAAATAGAACCGGGGATGCAAGTTGTTCGGCTGATCCTATTGTCGGTGAATTTTTTGAAAACAGTACCTTAGGTTTTTAAAAGGTCAAAACGCACTTTTGGTCCCAAAGTTAATTTGGGGGTAACAAATTTGAGTCACCATATATTTTCAATTGGAAAAAATAGTCCCCTAAAATATTTTTTCATTAATTTTGGTCAATTTAACATAATTTTTAGTCAACTAATGGGTCAATCCCTTTCTTCGGTTAAGTTTTTATTTTTAATTATTTTCTTCCTAACTGCGGGTCCTTTTTCTTTTACTTACAAGGTTTGTGACTAAGTGAATTCATTTCCCGTTCCTCTCTTCCGACTTCTGGCAACTGAGTTCAACTCTTCCACCCCTCATCTTCTCAGTCTTCCTAACTATTATCTTCAAGCCCCGCACATTTATAATATGTATAAAAACCACAATATCGTAGTAATCCCTCCCAAATTCCAGTCTAAATCCACTACTTTGAGTCAAATTCCAGTCCAATCCAAACCGACTCATCATTATCGATGCGTTTAGAGAAATCGACAACAAATCAAAACAAAGAACCAAAACAAAACATCAAACCTCGATTGGCGGGTGGCTCGATTAGAGAGCAAAGCAGCGAGCTTCTTCTTCTTCTTATTCTATTAATTCTTTGCCGGCCAAAATGTAAATGGGGGAAATAGTAAAATGGGAGAATTGTTTTTCTGAAAAAGAAAAAACAAAGGAGAAGACAAATCTGAAGTCTGGAATGAGCACCATAAGCCAATAATTTCTTTTTGACGATAATTTTTTTTTTGGCATATTGTAGTATTTCCACCGTTGACAACAGTAAGTAATCCCCCTCACTCATGCTAGGCACCTCGATGAGTGGGAGAGCTGGCCAAATAATTTAAGGTTGCTCTATGCCTACTGCAAGGTTCGAACCCTCGACCTATTGTTAAGAGTGGAAGAATCCTTACCACTCCACCACAACCCCTTTGATTCTTTTTTATTTTTATTTTTTACGATAATGAACAATGGTTCTTACTCGGCAGAGAAGGAGCACGGACTAACGGCGACGGCGGAGGGAAAAAGATAAAAAAAAAAATTGGCCAACTAGTTTTATGATGTAAATAACAACCCAAAGTTAAAGAAAATCAATTGATGATTAGAGTTTTTCTTTTGTGTTATAAAACACTTCTGTTCTTAAACCATTTCATTAACAAATGGAGAGAGCTTGAAGAATAACAGCAAGAAAAACTACCATATCCGAACAGAAGACACCACAAATTGTTTCGGTTTTCTTATTTAGCACAACCCAGTACAAAAATAAAGAAATTCTCAATAAAATAGCATGGTACAAAAAGCCTTAAAACAATTCTTCAATTCAAGAGGGCTTGCTGAATTTACGACCTTTAATTCGTTCGGCTTCGTATATGATGTGATTAATCAGTCACCTGGCAACATCGTCTTTCAATTTCTGAATCTTCTCGGGATTAGTCTCGTGCATATTTTTCTTGAACTGATCCCTCATCATGTCGACAATAAGTTCCGTGTTGTGTTGCTTGTGACCGATGTATTTAGCTCGTCGCAAGCATTCCCGATAGAGCCGGATGATGTTGTATGCTAGCTCCGGCGGTGGAGCTATTTAAAGAGAAGGTGGCATTCTTTTGAATCACAGCTAGGCGACGACCGCAATAGCCTACTGCCAGCGGCGGTTCATTGGTTG